CCCATCTGGGCCTTTGGGAACAAAAAGGGATGGTTAGGAAAATGTTTGTGTCCTCAATGGATTATTGTCTGACTGCGAGTGTCCATGTTTCAGTGAGTAGAATAGTCATTTTGAAATCTGAAAGCGGTGGGTTTGTTTCCAGCTCCCTCTTGCCACATGTCAGTGTAGTCTTGAGCAAGGCACTTAAGGCCAAATTGTCTACCAATTTGGGTATGTGCGTCTATGCCAGTGTGAATGGGTGAATCTACATGTTATCACAAACTCTTCAATATCTAGTCAGCCTTGCTTCTGTTTCTTTTTTTGGTCTTTTTTTATTTCTCTCTGACTTCCACTGCATTTGACTTGCACTCATTGCATTTCCTCTCCTATTGAGCTGGTGACTGTAGTAAAACATATACCACTAAACAGCAGGAATGACGGCAGCAGATACAGAAAGCATCAATAAATGTAACACCATTTTAAATCATGTGAAGGTCAGCTGTCATTTCAGTTTTCAATGACTGCATTCAGAACAACTCCTATTTATAGTATTACTATATTAATACCCAACTCTGTTTCTAAGCAATCGGAATTTACCTTCAAGAGTTAGATGTTAGGTTTTCACCCAGGCAAACTGAAAAGAGAGATAAAGGACTGTTTTTCAAAGGACTAAAAGTAATTTAGTTAAAGAAATAGATAAGTATGTTGAAATAAAGAGAATTTTCAAAAATGTTGACCATTCATAAAACTAATCCAAAGCCAGAAGGCATTCAGTTGAGTCCTTGGTCACGTGACTGAAGTAGAACATAAAAGTAAAAATGGAAACTAAAGTATTTTCCCTTGAGCTCGACGGTGTTGAAGTAGAGCTGGTGAAGAACAAAAAACCCCCAAAAGAAATTAGATGGTGGGGTGGGGGCATCAAAAGTGAGGTAGTCAGATTAGTCCAGACATTCACCGTGATCAAGTTTACTGATCAGTGAATGCTGGAAAGTGCAAAGACAGGCAGGTAGTGGCCTCCTTGAATGCTTGAGGTAGAGAAAGAAAAGGGTCATGGGCATGATTAGCTGGATGTCCTCCTACCAGCCGACTTCTCCTCCAGAGTCCAATTAGAGTGGAGGTGGGTAGAGAAAGAAACCGTGGAAGATTCCTTACATACTCGAAATAAAAAAAAAGAAATAGAAAAAAAACACAAGTCCTGACATAGAAGTCATGTTATAATCAAAGCCCCCAGGCACACAACCTTAGACATCCACACTGCTGTTGGCATACTGAACGAGCACAAGGCATGGGGTTAGAGAGTATGCCTTCACTTTTGTGAGAAACGGTACTTGCTGATGCTTGATTTTTATTACATGATGTGGTATTTCAACTTTTAACTCAAATTTCCACAGCTAGCATTATAATGCTCCAGTAAAAATATATATACACCGTTTTAGATTTTTGCATCCAGAATCATCAAAGTCTTCTCTCCCACCTTCTGACAGAAGGATATTTTGGGATGATCTGTGAATGGTGTCTTTGGAGCGGAATCAGAAACATGGTAACATGTGAAATCTTAGGATTATAAGCATATCCTACATGTCCTTTGTGGTTCCATACGTCTTCAGTTTACAGACTTGATTTCTACATTCTGAAATGAACCTTAGAAGTTTGATAAGTTATTTCATAATGATCTAAAAAGGCGTCTCTATAGTTAGATACGTCAATATATGTACAAATTTTTTCAGCAATCTTAACTGAAGATGGACCTTGAAATGAAATATTGTACACCTCAAACAGAAATGTGCTGAACGTCACATGGGAGGGTTATCAGACTATAAAAACACTAATACTAAAAATTATTAATGTAGCAGATTTTAAGTCTGCCAGATTGGCTTAGTTAGCAACAGGTGATAAAATGATGCTAATGATTATTGCTGCTTAACACCTGGAGGACAAACAGGATAAATAATTCTTTTACCTTTTAAGTCCACAGCTTTTACAAAGTACTAACAAGGCTGCCAAGTAGTTTTAATCACATTTACTGTGTAGTCCTTTTAGAATGTGAACAAAGATGCCAAAGAAACCCAGTTTTATTTCTCCATTTTATCATCCTTATTCAAGTTTGTAGGACACAGTAGGAGTATAACCGTAAAAACTGCAGACAGTCTGTGATTTTATGCGTATAAAAACAAACCAAAAAAAAAAAAAAAAAGCTAAGGTTGCAGTCTGCTGCTGGCCACACAAGCAAGATACAGCAAGCTATGCTGTTTCTGTGTCTTGGCAGAAACATGTATGTGTGAGTATGTGTGTCGCATAATGACCTTGAGTTCATCTCACCAGCGCAACCCCTGCAGGGCTGGGAAAGGACTCCTTTGAAGTACCAGACTCTCAGAAAGAGCAAACAGACATTAGTGGACAACCAAATGCCTTCTATAGTTCAGCCTGGGGGGTTTTCTGTATCTGCACGTTTCTTTCTTCACATAGACACCAACACATTCTCACATGGTGGACCACCTTTCAGAGGCCTGAGGTGCTGAATATGTACCGGTTAAGTCAACTGCACTGCAATTAGTCCCCAGCAACAACAGAGAGCAATATCGTTGCTGCATCAGTGGATCCTTGTGTGTGCCTGTATTGACTGGGTTGTGTTGTTCATGGGTGACACAGAATGACCTTTTAGCACACCTCAAACTCTTTGTGTACAATCAAGGCCAAAGTCATCATGGCCCTTACCCACTTACCTTATTCGATCTGTTAGACGAGATGTTACCATGGAGCTCTCTAGAGCAGGTTTTGGTCTCAGATGGAGAAAGAACATACAGATAATTAACAAGTTTTAAAAGTTGTTAATGTTAGGCATGATTGATTGATTGATTGATTGATTGATTGATTGATTGATTGATATAGCGCTTAACAACTAAGAACAACTAATAAATCACAAGAAAAAGAAAATGCAAAACCAACAATATAGATAAGGGAAAATGGCACTAATCTACATGGTATTAAAATCCTGTCTAAAGAAATAAGTCTTGAGCTTAGACTTAAAAATGTCTGGGTGGAGCAAAGGTCTATGTGGAGTTTGTTCCATTGTTGAGGTGCTGCCACTGGAAAAGCCTCATCACCTCAGTGCTTTAGCTCAGTCTGTGGGACAATAAAAGTTAATTTGATGACATCAGAAATCTCCTTCATAGAGGAAGACTTAAAGATTCAGATAAATAAGATGGGCCAAGGCCATTAAGAGAATTAAAAATTTAAAATCAATTCTAAAATGGACAGGAAGCCAATGTAAAGAGGATAAAACAGGGTTTAACCAACTCCTCACGTCTTGAGGAGTTGGTTAAAAGACAGGTCGCTGCATTCTTGTACTACTTTTTCTTTATTTTTTTTTCTCGAAACAATACTGGCGATAGTCAGTTCTTACTAGTTTTAAAGAAGGCATAAGTGATATGATTTTTTAAAATATGTGAACTCTTGTACTACATCGTAATGTTAAACCTCTAACCTACAGCGGATTTCTAGCGTCTTTTATGTCAGATGCAGTGCTTCAAATACATTTAGGTAAAAATTACAAAAAATCTTTTTCATGCTATAAAACTTTCATATTATTTGTTAAATTATTTCAGATTCAACATTATTTCCACTTAAAATGAATAATATTTTAATGGTATCAATATCTTTATAAAGAACGCTGATTACTAAAGAAACTAAGCATTCGGATTGTCAGAAGGTACTGCACTCTTATTGTATTGTAATACAGAAACTATTTTGTCTAATATGATATATTATAGTAGCACCTTGTGCATTAGTTGCATCATCTCCAGAAGGGAGTATAAAATGTACTATTTCTACCTCTTTGTTTGTAGAGTCTAAGAATGTGTGTGAAGCAGCTTCCCAAACAGAAGTAGAAAGAGGTCAGTTCGGTTCCCCAGAGGGAAACAAGATGGTGTTGAAACAGTCTGATAAGGTAGATGTGGTGAAAGGAAGAAAAAAGGTTAGAGCTGTAGGGATTTCATTTAGTTCCAGGAAATCAATCACAGTCTGCCTACATTTACGGAACAAGGCCACATGTGTTCACAACAACAGATGCAAAGCAATAAAATAATGTGTTTTAAATTTGATCAGAGGAGCTACATTGAAGGGGGATGAGGGAACATAGGTTCTATTTTTGTGTGCACCTTAGTTTTACCTGAAGTGAGACACATACTGTCTTTATTTGTGTACAAGAGCAGTTGAAGGTTTTGTTCACATTTTCTCATAAATGCAGCCTAAGAAAGCCCTCATGTTCAACCTCACATCATTGACGTTTTAGGGTCTAATCCAGGAACGTGTAACCTGTGTATTGTTCTTTACATCATTCACTGTGACTCTTAATAACTTTAGCCAAAAATGCTAAAGAAATAAGCAATGTTCTAAAATATTTGGGTAATTAAAAACATTTTGACTTTAGCAGCTTTTCCTAGGCGTTTTTATGCAGTATGTGTATAACATTTCTACAAAGAATGACACTAACAGTATAAGGATTACTCTATTTTTACAAAGTAATTTTTTTGTGTGTGTATATCTTCTGGTTGCAAACATAAATTCTTTTGTGACATTGTTTTGTCTCATTACCTTAGATTAACATAATCAGAACAAGAATCTAGAGGAATCCCTACTAGTTTATAAATCATATATTACTTATTCTTAAGCATGGGGTTATACTCTTTTTCGTTCTCCTTTTCTCTTCTTTTGCACTTTTCTTTGGTTTGTCGTTTTGTTGTATTTCTTTCTAATTCATGTAAAGCACCTTGATTTGCCTTGTTCCTGAAAATGTGCCATATAAATAAAAGTACCTTACCAATTGAAAATTCTGTTGACAAAAATGTATTTATTCATTTGATGATATTCTTTATGTTAAAACCTAAAATCAAGAATTGTTGTTCAATTGAAAAGTCAACACAAATTTATAGATGTCTTGAATTGCTTGGCTCAATCAATGGTAACCTCACCATCACCGTGTTAGATGTAAATAATAGAGTATTTATTTCTGGTCTTCACAGTGATCAGCGGGCCTTCCTGTTGGAGAACATTCCCTGTAACGTTCCCAACTGCAGCAGCGTGGGACGAATGTTCCACATCCGCTGGGACCAAACGGATCTGGGAGCGATCCAGAAGGCCGTCATGGCTACTTTCTTTGACATCTATGAGGACGTGAGTAGAGGATCTTTATTATTATACGCTGCTTTTTCCTTGCGGTACTCTGTTCCCAGTTCACCAATAATGAATATCTCCTATCTTTACCCAGTTGAAATATCTAATAAACTTATCAGACTTTGTGAGAATTTCAACATAGCTAAATAAAGTAAACAAGAATATTTTGAATCTTGAGTTAATAAAAGTGTATTATTAGATTTCTGTCTACTACGACAAAGTGTTTATGAATATATGTCTTCCTTTTTGTTCCATATTTGGTTTCAGCAGATTGTTTCCTTAGATTATTGTCACTAATCAGATTAAAAGCTTCTCAACCAGGGGTGCAAACAATTGGTTTACTTATGATTAATTGTCAATTAATGATTTATTAGATTAAAATTGGTTCCAACTGATTAACTAGTAAAGTTCTCAAAGACCTTCTTTGAGTGTTGTTGTGTGGCTGCCATCCAGAAGAGGGTGCCGCTGGTCATCCTTACGCAGATCGAGTTGATACAGGAATAAAGATGGCAGGGCATTCCTTCCTGTTTTGTTATATTTTACAAATATGTCAAAGTTAAATGTGAGCAAACTACGAGTTTGTGTTTATTCAGTGATTATTTAATACAGCTGACACACAAAAAATTGTTAAAATATAATAACGTGCTTCCTTTATTAAATTCAGCATAGTATGAAAAATGTAGTCCTTCATGGTATAGAAAGTCTATAAAGAGAGAGAAAACTTTTAAAAGGTTTTAAGAAAATGTCCGCTTATCAGTTAATAATTTGTCAGTCAATAAGATCAATCAACTTTTGATAAACTCATTAATTTATAACTTGCATCCCTATCGTCATCACTTCAGTTCTTTTACAGCCCTTTTTATTTACTGATTTTTTATGTTTTTTTTTTTGTTTGTTTTTTTGTGGCCTTATTTCTCACCATGTTTGCATTACATTATCGCATGCGGCAGAGTAAAATGTTAAATTAAAACAGAAGTTTGTCATTGATCCTCATATACGTTCTGATCCATAAGGGCATCCATAGTATGTCCCTGTACTGATAATTACAGAGGCTAAACTTCTCTTTGTGTTTTGTTTCTTCTCTGCATCTACATTTACAGGGAATATTAGACATGCTCATCCTGAGCAAGGCAGAGGACAAAGACGACTTAATGATCCACGCATTGAAGAACAATTTTGAAGCTGACGCCTATTTTGTTAAAGTGATGGGTAAGTGACTTACTGGCCAGATTTTCTCCTGTCTCTTCCTTTGTGTAAAAGAAGCAATTTGAACAAAGGAAAAAAGGCTTTTTTTTCTAAAAGTGTCTTCAGCGCATTACGCACTAGTTTTTCTTTTATTTGCTATAACAGCCCCTCCTAGACCAATTAAACACAAGCAAGTCTATTCCCCAATCTAGAGAGCAGATGGCCGTAACTATTATCTGTCATATAATTCAGATTTTTTCCTCCGTTGGTGCTGCAGACTGGAGCTCATTTGTGCTCTGTGTTCAATTCCAAATCCATTAAGTTAAAATGGACATTTTAAGCACAAAACTTCTATGTCCCAAAAACCAACATGTACAATCTGCCCACTTTCCCTGGCTCTGCACTATTGGCCTCAATAATGCTTAAAAATTATTTGCAACATTTTTTTTAATATAATTTAGTTGAAATTAAAATGCCTTGCAAAAGTTTGCATACAGTTTTTTTTTTTTTTTTTACATTTTCTCATGTCACGATAGGAAATTTTGCTGGATGATAAATTGCCCCAGATGTTATTGCGATAAACAATAATATTGTTGTTTTGAGACCATTTTTAAGTGATATAATGATAAAGGCATAATAATGCAAGAAGACATTCTCATAGATTGAAAAATGTTCATTAGACTTTAAAGTTTAACACTGGACCTGGAAGACATTTTAAATATCCAAAATAAATTTTAAGAAAAGAACAAACAACAAACATAATGAATTATAAAGTCCCTGTAAACAAAACTGTCCTTCAAGAAAAGGATAGATGAGACCAAAGAACCAGACTGAAGACCAGTTTTGAGAAAAATGATAAATCATCTAAATGGAAATTATTGACAGGCCTTGTGACAGGCCTAGTCACAATAAACACTCACAATATTCTGTGAATATGTTGTGACAGACCAACATTGTTGCATAGTTTTGTAATAAAGAAAACTTTAAACTTTTTTATTATCGAAAAAAATTTACTTGTATTTGTAATTAACATCCTCTGAGCCAGTAAATCACAGCAAGTACAGCTACAGGTCTTTGAAATAAAGCTTTCTACCAGATTTGCAAATTTAGAAACATGAAGTTTAGCTTAAAATAGCCGTAACTCGATGATACTGTATCAAATATTACCACATATTTTCAGTGGAATTTAGTGGAGGACTTTAACTGGGCCTTTCTGACACTTTGACCTTGGCTTTTAGGCTTGTTGTCCCACTGGAAGGTAAACCTCGGCCCTAGTCTGAGGTCTTTTCCAGCTTCTACAAGCTTTTCTTTCAGGATTGCTCTATGTTTAGCTCCACCAGCTCTGCCTGGCTTTCCTGTTCCCACAGCACTAATCTGTCACCACTATCCTACACTGTGAAGAGGGGGATACTAGCATTTTGCATGTAGGCTAAGTAGTTTAAACTTTATCCCCATCCGACCAGAGCACCTTCTTCCACCTGTCTGCTGTATCCCCTTTATGGTTATATTTATCTTAAGATGAATGGTAACACTTTATTTGATTGGGTGAGCATTAGACTGACATGTCATAATCATGACATAAAACCTGTCATGAAGATGAAGGAGTTTTCATGAATGTTTACAGCTGTTGTCATCAAGTGTCATTTGGTAAATAATGACACTTTTAATGCAAAGTTGACCATTTTAATGTACTTTTAATACGAGTTTTAATGCAACTTTGCATTAAACAGATCATTATTTATCAAATGACGCCTCATGACAACAGTCATAAACATTCATAAAGACTCCATCATCATCATGACATGTTTTATGTCATGCTTATGACAGTGTCATGTCAGTCTTATGCACACCCTGTCAAAAAAATGTTACCAGATGGATACTTTTAAGTTTGTAAATGTGTCATGAAACAATGTGAAAAATTACAAGGGATATGAATACTTTTGCACTGTTCTGCAGTTGGTTAATTTGCATTAACCATAAGGGGATCATGCTAAATAAAAGCCATGAGCGATTTGCAGTAACTGCATATTTTCTCTCTCTCCTCTAAAAATAATCCACTGTTGTAACCATTACTTGGTCCATTAAATTGAAACTACAAACGGTCCACATCATCTATGTAATATGCTGTGTTTTGTCACGTTAACAGCCTTTTTTTTGCACCAGATGTCTGATTACAGAACCCTCTCTTTCAATTTGTCAATATGGCTTCTTTTCTAATTATCTTTTCAGCAGTGTTTGAGTCCAAATCCAGACTCGTTCTATTCACGTCACAATCTTGTTTATCATCTTTGAGCTCAGTTGCAGACGGTTTTCTTTTCGAAAGGGAAAAGCAGACCGTTTGTACGCTGATCTTAGAAATCGTGACGGTTCTAAAAGTGACAAGTGTCAAGCAGGTGACTGAGATCAGTAATTAGGCCTCCAGCTAGACTGAAAACACAGGGTGGGGGGGATAAGCTGTTGCGTGGGAGGATAGTGGATTACTGTCATTACTGTCGATCAATAGTAGAGGTGTTTCCATTAGCTGTTCTCAAGATTTAAGGTTCATTTTATTAGGCTTTCTGTGTGAGCAAAAGAATTAAAAAGATTGAGACCCTGCAGATTATTATCACAGCGACTAGATGTAAAACAGACACAAAGCAATTTCTGAAACATAAATACAAATAAAGAAAAGCAGAAAAGGATTAGTGACAGTAGCAACACCACTCTAATAAGATAGCAGTTAAGGATCATTGAGCAGGGCGTCAAGTTTAGAAGGAACAACCTTCATTTGAGTTGCTTTGTTCTTTAAGACTTTTGAGCTTTCTGTATACAAGCAGAGGGGAAACAGTTTGTAAGCGGGTTGGATGGGGTCCTTCGTGATAAAGGTCTCACTGCTACAACACCTGCTGTTTTACATGTCCTTAATAGCATAGAGGCTGCGATGAATTGTTTTTCGGTCAGGTATGATCAGCCCCAGCAGCAGAGATGTTTTTACTTGTAGCAGAAAGAGAAAAGCAGGTGAGTGTAGAGTCCACTAGCTTCCTCCTTACCTTCCCCATACTAATGCAGAGCTTGTTTGCTCTGCACCCATTCTAAGAGTTCTTTGAGCTCCCTCCTGTGCAGTGACTCATCACTGCTGAATACCAATCCCCTCACAGTTATTGCATCTATGGATGGCCTAATCACAGTTTTTTAATGCCCAATACCAATTCTTGGTGAGATCTTTCAGCAATATGCCTTAACAAATACAGAATCCTAGTCCAATATGTAACAAAATCAGAACAAGGTATAAGTCGTAGAAATCTCTAGTTTACAAAAGCCGTAAAAAAAATTTTTTTTTTTTTTTAAGATTTTTTTTTGGCTCTAGTGGCCTTTATTCGATAGTTAATTGACAGGAAAGTGGGAAATGAGAGAAGGGGGAAGACATACAGCAAAGGTCGCCAAGGCCGATAATCGAACCTGCGACAGCTGCATTGAGGACTAAGGCTCCGTATGTGGGTTGTGCTTAACCCCTGTGCCACCACAGCACAACCCAAAAAGCCGCAAAATTTAACATTTTGGAAGGATCTTCACACAGTTGTCATCACAGAGCAGTTATCAACAAGTCGTATCACAACAGAGAGCAAACATGATATAATTAGCTTAGCATTTTATCAAACTGCTCACCATGACATCATCAGCAGCATGTGCAAGATGTGAGTTTATAGAAGAATCTAGCTGTATGTAAGAGGCAGGTATGTCTTTAAAAGCAAATGCTAAAACTATATTGTATTTTGGCGACATGTTTCCATCCATCCTTAGCTGCTTTCTTAACTAAGTAGCAGAGTTTCTGCAAGCTTGCTTTAATGTGACGTCATCAGAGTTCAACTCAGAAACATATCTGACTCTTGCATATATCTGCAACCTTAAATAAACTCATATCTTGCCCTGCTGCTGATGATGTCATGGTGAGCATTTTCCTGAAATGCTAAGCTAATGATAGCATGTTATAATTTGTTATAGGACTTGTTGATAGCTCTGCTTGTGGCCTATTTAGGGTGTGGTTCCAGGTAATCATGTGTTGAAAAAACCTACTTGGAATGAGGTGGCATGGATTTTAATAGTCTGTGTTGCTTTTTTGCATAAAACTTTAAATCTTTTTAGAAGTAAACTATTTTAATTCAGGCAGCTTAAGTCTGCAGAGTGAGAGTTTAGAAGGTAATGAGGAGTTTGAAATGAGCCTGCTTCTGATACAAACTGGTTCTTTTGACAAGCATACATTCATGTTAGTTATGTATTTTTTGTGCTCAATGACCAGCCTGATCATGGCCATCACATTCAGAACCAAGAAATGATGGCGGCTCTTTATGAAAGTAACAGTTACTTTGGATTGCAATAAACTTCTGTTCATTCCCAGCTTTGAATATTTCTTTTACTTTGCTACCCTATCAGAGCATGAGAATGTGAAACCAGCCCCATTACTCGATCGTCATAAATTAGTTTTCATGACATAAAGACTTTTCTGCTGGTGATGCACATGAAAAATGCATCACTCATTTCATTCTTCTTAAACCACATTGTTTACTTTTCTCTGTAATAGCATTTTAAGATAGTTGTTTTCAAGGATTGTGGGTAATTAGGCTGGGGAGACGAGTAAGGATGTGGCATGAAGCTCTGCGTGTTTCCCCCTTCTGTAAATGAAACCCCCTGGGGTCTGGAGAAAAGCAGCAGCAGCATATGGATCATAAAAGGCACATTCTGATCTAGATTCTCTCCAGGCATTGTAGGCTTAGCATTAACAATTTATAATCTAAAACGGGACCAGATTTTGGTGATGGTTAAAAAAAAATCCCAGGTGATTGGGTATTATTTTGAAGTGAAAATGGTAGTAAATATGAAATAAATAAATAAAAATATGTATTTTTAGTCTGTTTGACAGCTTGTGCGCGATTGTTGTTTTGTGTGTGTGTGACCTTGGCACGTCTTCTTCCCTAATGCCTCAACACGAATTCCTTTGGTGCCGTCTCTTTAAACACTACTGTTCTTTTCGGTATCCATGTCTTGTC